TGCTGCCGCTGTCCACTTTTGAGTGATGCCTGTATATCACACAGAACCATCTGTAAACCAGGCACAGGTTTTGTCTTCCTCAGTCAACTGATCATAAGGAACTCCCCATGGGGCCATAGGTGCAGACTGGGAGAAGGAAGTTAATGTGACAGGAGACCACGGGCATTTGGGCCACTTCTTCTCACGTAACTTACTTGTGCTTCAGGTCCTGCTTGAGCCCGATCTTGTATATACCACTTCCGTTTAATAATGGAGTCTGAATTTATGACTCTCTGGGTCAGATGGCAGGCTGCTGGCTCACGTCCCAAGAACTGGAGATTGGAGGATGACAAGTCAGATGCAGCATCCAGAGAAAGAGAGAGCTTTGCCAGAACATCTATATGTATTGGATGCAGGCCACATTCCCAAGGAGACTTTCCTTTCAACTTATTGACTGCTCACATCAGATCACAAAATGAAAGATGATTACATAAAATCTGTCAAACCACTGAGAATCAGGGTCTAGCCAAGATGACGCATAACCTTAACCATTACAGGCATTCAGAAGGGAGCTACCATGTCCCCATTATTTGGATTAGGTCTATATGTGTACAACTTATCCAGGACCTGTGCTTTCTTTCTCCCTCTTCTCTTTAGCCTTTAACATCTGGCTGTCCTTAACTCCAGTCATTTTGATCAGCATAATCTCTCTTCCCTTTTCTCTCGACTCTATGCTTTCTGTAAGTGGCTCCTTTATCTACATCTTTTCGTGTTGTCAGTATTATCATGTCCCTTGGATGTTATAAATTACCCTACAGTCCTTTAAAAATATCCTCCTTCATGAAGTCATCGAACTCACTTGCATATTAAAGACAAACAAGCTCAAATAAGCAGTCATTGTCTTTTGTTGCAATATTTTAAAATGTTAGTACCACCTAGTTGCCATGGAGGCTGATTCATGGAGACCCCACATGTATCAAAGTGGAGTTGTGCTCTATAGTGTTTTCAGTGGTTGGTTTTTCAGAACTAAATCATCAGACCTTTCTTCTGAGGAGACTGGAACTGCCAGCTTTCTGTTAGCAGCAGAGCACATTAACCATTTACACCACGCAGGGACTCCTTAGATGCTTTATGGTCACCCAGAACTCCCAAACCACCTTCCACACTCAAGAGTCACTATCTCTACCAATGTCAGTATTTTCCTCCCACTCAGCTAAGCCTGAAACCTTTGCAGTTCTTTTAATTACTCTCTTTTTCATCTTGTTTCCCAATCAACATCTAGTCCTACAGTTTCTTCCTTCAGAATTCATTCATAAAGGAAATATTCATTTAATGCTTCATATATGCAAAGCACTATACTAAGTGCTTTGGTAGTATAAAGTTTCATATTCTGCCTTCACTAACCTTTCTTTTTGCTGAACTCTGGGGATCTACATGGAATGTCTAAACTTTATTTTTATTGTTTTTAACAGTTTGTTGTTATTTCAGGCACAATTAATCTTGGTTCTCTCATGAGTTATAAGCTCTTTGGGGGAATGGAGCACATTTTATCCCCCCTTTGCTTTTCCCACAACATGTTGTTCAGCATGCCCACTGAACGCCCAGTAGGTTATCTATGTGCACTTGCTAATGGAGCCACATGAAGGAGTAGTTAGTTGTACAGGATTCAACGAGGTGGAGTCTTCAGAATAGGAATGGAGAAAGATCTCTGAGAGACCTTGATAATAATCTCTGTGGTATGCAGAAAACTGAAGCTGGGTGGTGTTCTGGGGTAAGTTGGTGGCAAGAAGTTTATGAATCAGTGGGAACTAGCAAATTCTGGGAATTTGAGGTTAAAAGAAAGACGGGAGGAGATCATGGGTAGAGGGTACTGGAAGTATTTGTATGCAAAGAAAAAGTAGGGGAGGGAGAGGAGAGAGAGACCTGGGGTTTAAAAATCCCATTACTGTTTGTTGTACAGTAAAACCTATGAAAGCTGGAATCTGTGTAAGGCAGAAACCTTTCAGAGAAGGAAAACTCAAATATTTTCCACTAGTAAGAGCATGATAGAAAAGTGGTAAGACTGTACCTGTGAAAGGCAGAAAACTTGCAAGACCTGCAAAAACAAGGCAGTCCTGTTGAGTTCTGGCTCTCACAGATTTCACTGTATATGGTTAAATGAAACTGAGGTGATTTTAAGTGGCTTCAAAATTAGAAATTTTGCTTTCTTCTAATGTAACAGACAGAAACTACTGACTGACTCTGGCAATATGAGAATCAAGTCAATGGGAACCTAAGAAAGGCAAAGCAGATGCCTCCAGTGAGGCGAGAGCTCTTGACAGATTTTCAGATGATAAAAGCCTAATCTTTACCTGGAAACTGGTTTATTTGAAATAGATTTGTGGAGATAGAACCTTGAGGGGAATCAAAAGCAGCCAAACCAGAAAAACAAAACAAAACTGCTTAAGCAGAAATCCAGATATTCGCTGTGAAACAATTAGTATTAGCATTTCTGAAGCATTCCTGAAATAGATGAGCTTCACTATTAGCCTTCTGTGAATTCAAGCAAGGAGGCATCATTACACAAATTACATGCCTGGAGAAGGGGTTTTTGCACTGGGATGAACTTGTAAAAAGAACATTTAAACCAAAAGCAATTTTGCCTGTCTGTAATTTGCTCTGTTCCCCTTGCTATCATTGAAGATATTTATGCATGAGCAAAATTCTTACTCCCAGTCTGATTTGTCCTTTTTCTTAATCCAGCCATGGAGTCATGAAGTCCCTTGTTTGGGACAATATAATTTGCTGCTATGGAAACAATTACGGTATCGTAAATTTATCTTGCCCCATGAGATCAAAGAGGAAAAGCAATAATACTAATATTTTGCAGTTGAATAGTGCCATTCATTCTGGAGTTGCTGCCTAGTCAGTATCGTCAATTTGCAGATGGGGAAAACTGAAGCAGGAAACATCCATGCCTTGGTCTAAAGCTCTTGAATTTTAAATTGTGGCAAGAATGTCCAGATATTCTAATTCCCACTCACACCAGCAGCTAAGGGGCCAAACCCTTGCTCTTCATTACTCTCTTTGGATGAGGATGGAGAGTCGGCTCCTCTCCCAGTGCGTGTGCTTCACCAACTGTTCCTAATTACAAGAATATTTGATGGAACGTAGTTGGATAAAATAAACAAACAAAAAGCCCTTGGCAATTGTCACAGTGGCGAGAACATTTATATTTAGGAATAGAAAAGAGGTTCTGGAAAAGTGCTTTAAAACTTAAGCACTCATGTCCAGGTCCAGCCTTGGACCAAACCCCGCCTCCACCCCCAATTTTAATCTCATGTAGCTGCTCATTCTCTTGTCTTCCAGCCATGGGTGGATTTACCTAGAAGCTAATGATGCTTAAGCTCCAAGGCCCCTCACTTACACAGACGTCTTCCAAGGGCCTGGGAGGGGCCCTAGCAATGAGTTCACTTGGACAGACTTTTTCTTTTTAATTTGTACTCTAAATTCTTCTTATGTTTGGTGGCCTAGCCATTGGCCTTTTTGGAGTTAAGGAGACATTTGGATTAGATGGTTTTCAGTTGTTACCAGGTGGAAACCCAGATCCTGCTAGGCATGACTGCTATTGGGCAACTAATGAGAGAGACCGAGGTAGAGAGCAGAAAAGGCACCTTTATTTCCTCGCGCAAGGAAAGGAGGCAGTCGGAGCTGCCGCCGCCAAGACAGCTCAGCGAGGGCAAGAGGAAAGGTTATTTTTAAGGGGTTTGCAAGTAGGGAGTTCATAAAGTTACGTCAACAACTTTCTTAATCATACTATGCAGGCACAGTGGGGTTTACATATAACTTCATGTATCATCAGGATTTTTATGGGACAGGCCAAGCAAGGGAACTAGGATTCTAATGCAAAGTAACCGGGCAGGCCAAGCAAAAGAAACAGGATTCTGATGCAAAGCTGCTTGAAGCAGTGCAATTTATTTTCCACAGCCTGGGGACCTCTGCCTTACAGTCACTTTTGTTCATAGTTAAATTATTGCTAGCAGTGGCTCCAAGGAACACTCCTTCTTCCCACTGTGCTGACTGCTGGGCATTGTGAAAGATATGACTGTGTCTTAGGTACTCTTCACCAGAAGCACATGTGCCGTAGAGGAGAAGCAGTTGTTGGATGTATGGAGCCAGAAGCTAGTTTGTGGAAGAGTCTCCCAATCATCAGACATGGAAAATTGTAAACTGAGGATCGGGTTTTGGTGGCTGCATAGTCATGATGGAAGATGGACGTTCTCGCCCTTTAGAAATGTACATAATAATGTAGCATGTCCAGTTGTAACTGCAAACCAAACAAAAACACAAACCCATGGCTGTCAAGTTGATTCTGACTCATAGCAACCTTAAAGGACAGAGTAGAACTGCCCCAAAGAGTTTCCAAAGCTGTAAATCTTTATGGAAGCAGACTGCCACATCTTTCTACCGTGGAACAGCTGGTGGGTTTGAAATGCTATTACAACTGCACCGTACAATTAAATTATTTTTCATATTCCGTATAAAATCAATAGAAGTAATTCTGACATCAAGAAGAAAATGGTAACAACAGCAACAAAACATTTTTCAGATCACACCAGAAGCAGTGATTCACTAAGAGGAAGAGATAAACATTTTAGATGGAAGTAATGAATAAGCTTTTGGATTGTTTGATAATCCAGTTAACAAAAAGGAATGAAAAAATACTAACATTGACAAAAATAGGGAGCCATTATGAAGACATAGATGACAAACTGGTTAATGAGTGTTATCCATTCAAAGAATATTTAAGTTAGTTACTTCACAAGAAAATTTGAAATGTTTTGAAATCTTACAGCTCACATATCAAATAAACTTGACAGAGGTATTCCCATATTTAACAACAATCCTAAAATTTTTGATGACATTACCAGTAATGACTTGTGAAGTTAAGAGAATTTTTCTAAAAAAATTTTTTTTTTTTTAATTTGGGAAACCATCCTAGAGGTAAGATATAGTTAATTGTCTTTCTATTTTCTCTGTAGAAAATGATACTACAAAATTATTGGCATATGAAGAGGTGAAGAACAAGAATACAGCCAAAAAATGCAAGGAAAAGAGTTACAGAATTGATTCATGTGGTTATTTAATAAAAATTAGTTTTTTTGGCAGTTAGTGACATTTGCATAGTTTGTCAAGTTACTGAAAATTTGTAAGGTATTGTGTTCTTCTCTCATCAAAATAAATATTCTTTTTCATATGTTTGTAATTTTGTAGTATTCTTTTTCTTAGAGAGGACTCCCCAGATTTTATAAGGACCAGGCCCACAAAAGCAGGCCCTGCTGCTGCTCCAGCACAGCTTGAGTGCTTTGTCATCTCTCCTACTTCAGTGGCATGTGATGGGGAACGTTTTCTTCATCAGGCTGGAAGCTGCTAGGGCTAATGTCCATGTTGCAGATTGGTTCCCTGGAAAACAGATTACGATGAAGACTGGCAAACAAGATTCACACCTGTGGAAGGAAGCGAAGAAAGCAGGATTGGGTAGAGAGTGAGACAAAGTGAGTCTCAGTGGAGGACTCAACGTAAACCACAAGGAGTTCTGAAGCTCAGATGAGCTTCAGAGTAGTCCCAAGTAGGTCCCTGGGTGGTACAAACAGTTTGCGCCCGACTACTAACATAAAGGTTGGCAGTTCAAACCCTCCCAGGAGTGCCATGAAAGAAAGGCCTGGCAATCTGCGTCCATGAAGATTACAACCAAGAAAACCCTATGGAGCAGTTTTACTCTGTAACACATGGGGTCGCCATGAGTTGGAATTGACTTGACAGCAATGGGTTTGGCTTTGTTGTTGCTGGGGCAAGAGTATAAGACCTTTTTACCCCATGTCAATCAGTTGTTGGATGTGGGGTGCTCTGGGAAGAATGTGTCTCCTTGGACGGGGAGCTCTGTTCAGCTGAGGCAAGCCTGTAGGAGGCTGGCAGCTGAGGGCTTTCTGCAGTCAGTACTCCCAGGAACTGTGGGAGTTAGTCCTTGATTCCTGAAGGATAACATGGGCGACCATCAGAGCTTCCACTGTAGTCCACTCCTTATGCTGCTAGGATCCAACCGTTGATATAAACCCTGAGAAGAGCTCCTCTAAGATTCTAGTGGGCTACTCTTCTTGGGGAAAGCATAGCACAGGAAGAGAAAGAAGGATAGTGGGATTAACTGCACTGGCTTTGAGGCTATGACTGATACTTATCTCACTCTTCTCTATGAGCCATTCTAGATGTCCCTCACCCTCAGCTGGCACCGATGCTTGTTTTGATGGCTTTCTAGGAAGTGTGATTCAGACTCTTATCCCTGAGGACTTTGAACCTCTTGTCAGTATGGCTTTCTTGATCTTGGTTGCTGACTTGTCCATTTACCATTGTAACAGAGTAAGAGAGTACCAAGAGGTGCCCAAGTCGATCACCTGGGTGCCAAACATACACAGCCCTGCCCTCATTGTGTAAAAGCAGTCCTATCTCCTCCTGGTGATCAGGGTCAGTTACCCCTGTTAAGATAGTGACTCCATCATTGAAGCTGGATGACAACTCCCTCCAAAAAAAAAACCATTGCCCTGAAGAAATCTTTAAACCTTAAACCAAAACTATCCCCTGAAGTCATCTTTCAACTATGTAATAGCTTAGCTTAATTAGAAAAGGTCTGCCTTGAACATTGTGCTCTTTTTTTTTTTTTATTGTACTTCAGGTGAAGGCTTACAGAACAAATAGTTTCTCATGAAAACAGTAGTACACATGTTGTTTTATGACATTGGTTAACAACCCCACAACATGTCAACCCTCTAACTTCTCAACCGTTTTTTTTGGTGAAAATAC